AGTGTAGTTGATTCTGCGACAATAATTTCATTTTTCAAGGAAGCCTACAGAAAAGACATGGATATAGACACGTACACTCCGATTTTTGTACAGGTAAGGTTCATTTTAAAATCGTAATTTTCAAATATTTTGTCTCGAATTTTGTACGGAGCTCAGAAACTGTCAAAGCTCACATGTGCGATTAGAAACATGTAGAAATCAAGCTTATTTAAGCCTATAAGCTTAACTTTAAGATCCGAACACGCACAGTGTTCAAAATTTAAAATATTCAGGACCCAAAGCAATTATGAAACATATAGGGTGTAAAAGAATAGGGAAAGTATAAAATATAGCTGGGAGTTTTCATCCAAAGAAAAGTGCTACAAATTTAATATTTTTGAGGTCTTCGATTTTTGCTGAAACCAAGAGAACCTTTTATAGTTTATAGATAAATTTGTCTTTCAGATAGAAATCTCTTGAACTCATGACGAGTAATTGAAAGGAAAACTGGTTTGGAGTCAAATCTCTTTTCTTCTTTTCATCAAAATGTAAGCTAAGGGTGCGTTCCTTTGGGTTGATCTGGATCCGTGATCCAAGATCACTCTGTTCATGGTACATCAAAGGAACCGATCAATCCACTATGGACACAGATTCATCAGCTCTAGTTTGTCTCCGGCCTTTTTTCCATCAAGTCTTTTCTTCGTAGAGCTCGGGAAACCAGGCGAGCGCCCGTGAAAGCGAGCGCGGAGCGAGAGACACCCGGTCGAAAGAAAATTGATATTTCGCCAGCTACACCACGTTGCGTTTTAGCGCGCGTGTCCTGCGATCTCGACGAACTCAAGACAAAATAGGTTGTCTGTGGACAGGCTTCATCGGCTCCTGCGTTGCACCATGACCAAGTTATCTTGGATCACCGATCCAGATCCTGATCATCGCAAAGGAACGCACCCTAAACAGCAGAACCTGTTGGGTACGTATTTGAAGGTTGTGAGCTCAAACTGAGCGTAGAGATCCAAGGTTACGTGATTGTGTACGTAGGAGGTGGGGTGGGGTGGGATCGGGGGGTGGTGGTGGCTGGTCATGTCTGGGTGGAACAACAGAAATAAATTGAGCACAAAGCTGTGAAATAATTTCAATTGTTCGTAGAATTTGTTTATTCAACCCGACTGAATGGTTTCTTCCTATCAAGCGTTGAAACCCACACCAAATTATTCGGTGTCTGAACATCGACCAAAACAATGATTTACTCCACTTTTTATCGCAAACTAAAGCGTCAACTCATGCTTCAGTAACGTAAAAGGAGGTCAAATAGACTGATTTTATACTCACAATCTAGATCCAGCGTTTTATGTCGTTTATGTTGCTCAATTTTCTAGTCAGAGAACATGATCCTTTCTTTATTTAATTTTCCTATTTATCCTAGAAACTTGTTTTTCGCTAGCGGGTGGCAGTTTGCTGCTTTCCCGCGCTTTTGCTATGTTACTGACAGAAACATTTCAATTATTATCGTTCTTTTCCGGTTAACAATACTATTATGGCGCCAAATACAAGTCATTTCCAGATTTAAATACCTCGTTTGAGTCGAAAAATTTAGCTTGTCAAAATCACTGACAGATTTGCTTGTACTCGCATTAATTTTTCATGCTGTCAATTCACGCGCGAATAATTGGCGCCCTGTAGCAAGGTGGCAAAGAGTCATAAACAAGGCCACTTATGAATGTAAGAACAAACATCATCAGGAAAAGATGAAGTGGAAGAGGATGACTTCTACCTTAATAATCTTTTGTACCCTTGCTCCTTGTGAATAAAGATTTCTTAAGCTCGATCGGTTGTTGCGTTTTTGGTCAAGCCCCCATGAGCCGAGAGCCTTGAATGGTTTGTGATCTGATCTTTAAATTTGTCCATGATCCGAAGTTAAAACCAAACTCCGCGACCTGTTTTGACATGACGTAATGCAATCCCCACACTCCACTGACTCTCGATTCAACGGTAGGACGGGGTTTTTCACGCTTGTTAACTCCGGAAAAGATCTTGCCCGATATCTAGACGCAACAGTGAAGTTGCTAATTACGCAGTGGAAAATTGACACACATCCTCGGCAGAGTGAATTTTTCACCTCGCTTAGCTCTATGGTGGCGGGCGACAGGAAATCACCATGAGGAGCTATGCCGGCTGATCGCTTTCGAACCATAAAACCCAGGACAGCTTTAGTGTTTCTCGCCGTTGGCCTTCTACAGATTTTCGGTATGTATCGTCTCATTTTGCTAACTTCACGGAGCGCTGGCGCGATTTAGAGTTCTTAGTGTGGCTAAAGCATTTTTTTTTATTCTGTCACAGGTACCCTCGCAAGTTTTGACTTCTCCAAATCAACTTTCATCTGTCAAGGAAGCGAGAAAAAGATAACTTATGCTCTAATATCTGGAGGGTACAGACATGAACGGGCGGTTGTTGGTAACGCACGTTTTCTTAGCTCCTCAACAAATCTCCATAGCTGTATCTCACGCTGTTGTAGTTTAACATGGTGCAAGCATGCTTTCGTGTCGCAACGCAAGTGCTACGGCGAGCCATGCACTGGAAGTCCTCCCTTGTATCGAAGACAACGAAGTCTTGTTCCCACCACAGGCTACCTTCACACAACGTCCACACTAACTCCAGCGGAAAGTGCGCAGCAAGGTAGCATTTGAATTAACCTTGTATATCTTTGATTTGTTTTACTATACCTAATTGATCTATCACCAGTAACGATGCAACACGCAGTGCGTAAACCTTGAACAGCTTAGCAGTGGTTCGATTGTAACGGGTTTAACCAAGCATAATTTCAACAAATAGGTCTTTAGCTAAGCAGCCGGTATTTAATTAAATACACTGTTGATTCCTGTCGGTACTCAGATCTGTTTTTGGCATTATATTTTTACTTTTATCTTTAATAATCGGCCATTTTTCACACATTTTTTTCTCTGTATCTGGCTTGTATGACGCGGTGATAAGAACAGTTATGATCTAAACCTGCTGGAATGAACGCGGGGGGAAAATTTGACATTTCATGATTTTCTCCCCTTTAATAGCGTTTTTATTTGTTATGTTAAATATATTTTTACCGATTTTGCTGATTAATTTGTGGAGATGTCATCGATTGCCTTGGGGAAGGTCGAGAAAGAAGAGACTTTTTCTCCTTTTAAGGTTACCGTATACCTTCAGAGGTGTCTCGCGTCCAAGCGATGTAGTGCGTCCGATTTAAACTAACGATAGGTAAACTCCACATCAAATTAAAGCTTATAAAGCTGGCTATCAAGCTATACCAAGAAGTTTGAAATAAAATGAATTGTGGAGTATTTCACGACCTCTAAATGGGAGCTTCCGAAACACCTTTTGAAAGCTTCAAGTCAAAGGGCTTTGTTCGTTAATTTTCCCTTAAGTTTGAACAGTAGCTAGGTTAACATATAAACAACAAAATCACGTCAGCAAATTGTTTATTTCGAAATATTTTTTCTCCAAGAGCGATTTTGCACGATCATTGCACATTTTTTAAATCCAATTTCGAAAATGTTCTGTAACTTTTTACTGCAATTGAATATGGCAAAACGCAAACCCTTTTTTAGCGCTTTGGGTCTGGAAACTAAGGAACAAATTAAATTAACGAAAAACGAACTTCGCTTTAACTTGAAGCTTTCAAAATGTGATTTGGACGCTCGCATTTAAAAGTCATGAAAAATTCGACAATTCATTTTGTTTCAATATTCTTTGAAAATATAGTTTGATAGCCAGTTCTATAAGCTTTAATTTGATACGGGGGTTTGGATATCTACAGTTTAAACCGGACGGGCTACATTACTTGGACGCAAGACACCTCTAAAGGTATACGGTAACCTAAAATAAATCTGTTTTGGTGAGCCAGAGATACAGTAAAATAGTTTGGGATTAAATAGAAAGCAACAAAGCCCTGGTTAATGAAAAACCTTCCTTGTATTGGCTGCTTCGTTGTGTAGCGACTGCATACAGGTTTAAAACCCGTTTCGGCTTTCTTTGTGTGTTGCCCTGAATTTTAATGTCTCGATATTCACATCAACCCGGGTTTCACGTTGCCAGAAACAGGAATTTATTTGGCTTTATTATCGGTTGAATTACCCTTTTGTTATCGCCCAGTACAGTTCGCGATACTCTGTGAACAAAACCGTGAAATTTCCTCAGGGTAGCATCGCTCCAGTAAACTATGTAGCTATGGAGTATCAGTGTTGCCAAAAGTATCGACTATTCATGCGCTTGACTTTTAAACCCTAGCCAACCTAAATAAATGCTTGAATAAATAAGGAGGCGAACCTAAGAACATTGAAAACATATTTTCTTTACACGGGGATGTGCAAGCAAAGTGCACAGTTAGTTTACTGCATTTTATCTTAAAGAAGCAAATATTGTGTCCGTTTATGTACTTCATTCAATATATTGTAAAACTTTGTCTCTTTTTTCAAGAGCCACGCGTTTTTGACCACACTACCCTAAGAGAACTGAATTATTAACAATAATTTCTGCTTCAGTGACTGACACCTGGAGGGAAGTAACTACAATGTAGATCGAGTTCAAGAGAGCATGTTATTTATATTTTAGAGCATTTTTCTGATTACTTGTGAATTGAAGGAAACCTTAAAGTAATAGTTAAGTAAGGTAGAATTTGCAATAAAAAAAAAAAATAGAAAATGAACTAGACTGGGTATGATGCGAAAGATTTAGACGGATTAATAGGCCACTTTCGATATATCAATATTCTAACATGGATCCGAGGCTTTCGGGTCAAAGTTGCAATTTTTT